TTAACTTAAGAAATTGTGTATTACAGCACCATTGACTGGCCATTGGCAAGCTCTTAAGACAACTCTTGTGTCGAAGAACACATAAAGGGTCCTGAACATTTAAGTCAAAATTAAAATCCTCTGAAAAGCAACCCTACAGTGCTTCTGAATGGACAGCCCCAAACTGGGACTTCTCCTTCAGAAAGAAAATACCCGTGTCCCACTTGAAAACCTGGATTCAAATTTGGTGAGCAGTGGTTCTGTGAAATGTTATGCATGTTACTGGGTTTGTGCTCCCCACACTTTTCATTTTCAGGTATTTACATCCCCTACGTAAAACACTACCAAAAGCAATTCCTACTCTGCTGCTATAAATGGCTACCCAAAACCTAAGACGGTGGAGAAGCACTCCTTCCAGGTTAGGTTCTGTGTTTAGGATAATTGCTTTAGGCTCTGTCAGTACGTCTATCACCTTTAATCAGAGCTGTTGATTGTCAGCCTCTCTGAAAGACAGCTCTTACATTTCTGAAGCTGGGTTCTCAGACACAGCAGCATCTAAACTCTGTGAGCAGTTCTGGAAAGAAAGAAAGAAAAAGTCTTAAGTCTTTCCTCTATTCATAGCCTCCACTCATTGGTGCAGAGCCCTTTAACAGAAATATTTAGACCACATAACACCCACAAGTTGCAATTTATTAAAGTTTGGCAGTCTAATCACTGCAGACTTTTTCAGAGTTGATCCCCACAGTAACAATTATTTTCTGCTTTACTGACTCAGGGAAATTAATTCTAGTTTTTCTCCCCTCACCTCCCATCCACCCTTTCATTTCTATGCCATGTTTCTTCATTCTCCCTTGCGCCTATTGTGCCTTTTGTGGTCAAAAAACCCACAGCAACTATTTCCCCATGTTGCTAGTGGAGACTGGAACAGCCTGCATAATTTGTCCCCTTACATGCTGATCTGCCCTGAACGTTCCAGTTTGTTTGTCCACAATGTTGAGGTTTGCTCAGTTCAATAAAACGAACTTAAAGTCGTGAGTCATTATCAGGAGCTTCTGGGTTTTCAGGGTGTCCCCATGAAACAGGGAATAGAGGGCTGCAATTTTTACGCGTTTATTGTAATTGCAGCAGTTACACAAGCCGTGTAACGTAGCCAGAGCTTAGCACTGTAGGCCGGCTACAATCTTTGTGCAATTAAGGAACCAAAAATCACGGGTCACTAAAGGAAATGGGATTTTAAAATGTTACGGGAGAAATCGTGGATTTTTTTCCCCTCCCTCATTTTTCTTTTGAAATGAATTCTAGTCACGTTTTAAGCAAATGCTTTACACACACACACACGTGCATGTGAAAAGCAGGGCTCCCCGAGATCTTTATAATTTCATAACTTTCTTTCTGCCACCAGCAGCTCTACTTCCAGTGCCAGGCTGAGCCTCCGCACCCCTTTGAAACGACTGCGGCTGCCCCGCCGGCTCCTAAATATCCTTTTTGTTCAACATGGAGCCACCCTCCAGCTTAACAAAGAACCTTCCAGCCCGGGAAAACCTGGACCAGATTCAGCTGTAGAAGCGAGGCGAGTTAACACCACACTCGCGGCCCGCTCGCCCGGGGCTGGCCCTCGGCCCTGGCCTCACCTCCCGCCGCGGCCTCCTGGCCA